GACCTGCCGCTGCCCGCTACGCCAACGTCCCTCCGCTCCCGGCGGCAAGGCCCTCTCGCCGTCGAGTCGGACGCCTTCTACAAGTGGACCGAGCACCTCCACGTCACGGCCCGCGTGCTGTCGCCCGACCCGTCACAAAAGGTCATCACGGCCGACCTCTACCAGCGCAACAACGGCATTGCCCTGCCCGAGCCCAACTTTTTCTACGTCGAAAAGTCCGCCCACCTGTCGCAGTCGGACTTTGGCATCCTCTTCCCCTGGCTCACGAAGCGCATCTTCAACTCGGTCGAGCCCGAGCGCGCCCTGCGCGTCAACCTGCGCGCCCAGCTGCAGGTCCTCCGCGCCAACGGCGTGCCCGTCGCGCGCACCTGGGTCGGCGACCTCGTCGACGGCGTCGGCGCCGAAAAGGACGACAGCGGTAGTGGCAGTGAGGGCGAGGGCGAAGGCGAGGTCAGCGACGGCGTCACGGACGACAGGGCCATCTTCCTGCGGAGCGACGGCAAGATCGTCGACTGCTGGCACTGGGTCGAGACGATCGGCAAGGGCGACGAGAAGAAGGCGGATGCGCAGGCGGGCGAGGGCGTCAGCGCGCAGGTCGCTGATGTCGAGGCCTCGGCGCCGCAGATGGAGGCTGAGATTGAGCCGCCTGTTGTCGGCAGGACCGTCTCTGCGTCGGCGTGAGCTGTGGTGAGAGGATCAGCTGCGGGGATGAGAAGCGAGCCACCAAAAGATAGAGCACGGCGCATGATACCAGATGGAGTTTGGGGTGATTTGTTTGATTTATTGTAGAACTAGATACCTCGGCATGGAGCGGGCCAGCATCGGCAGAAGCGCAGATCATCATGCGCCGTTGATAGAGTTGATACACTTGAAAGATGAATGCATCGATTAAGCTAGTTTGATTGGCGCTGTCATCGGATTTCACATATTGCGTGCGCGAAGCCGATCGGGGGGTTGCCCATGTTCGTCATCGACCGTGGGGAAGTCATGCACGTCATGGCTGTCTGAATGACGGACGCTCGGCCCCGGATTGAGCGTCACATATCAACCCGGCCCTACGCAATTATCTCCAATCTGATTTTTATTTTACTACCAATTCGTGAAATCCATTGCGAAATCGAAACCAAGTCAACCCCACAAGAAGAAGGAAATCGTCGTCATCATGGCGCCTGTAAGTCGTTGCCTGCACAGACATCCTCATCTCAAGACATCACCAGACCGCAAAAAATCAAAATCGAAAAAAAAAAAAAACGGACTAACAAAGGAAAAGCCAAGCAAGAACAGTGAACACGCCAAATCAGCCGAAAAAGAAATCCGAAACCGCGGCTCCTCCACCTCGGGTGCCGGCCGCACGCCCGCCGAAGGGGCTACAGCCGCCGACGCCAACCCCCCGTCGACGAACGGCGGGTCCGGGTCGCAGAGCAAGGCGGATGCCGCGCGGCCCGGCAAGAAGGGCAAGGCGGCGACGGGCGGCGAGAACTCGGACGGGTCGGCGGTGACGGGCGGGCAGCCGCGGCGGCTGAAGGCGCTGGCGGAGGAGAAGCTCGACGGCAGGGCGGGGAACCCGAGCCAGCTGGGGGATCCGATCAGCTTGGAGGTGGAGGATGGGCGGAAGCAGGGGGAGAAGGGGGATGTGGCGGATGGGCAGAGAGGGGGGCCTGGGAGGGAGTCGAAGTTGTGAGTTGGGCTCTCTCTCTTCGCTCTTTGCGTCGTTGTCGTGGCCAACCTTGCGAGCGGTTATTTGTGGGAGGATATGATGTATCATACACCTTGTCTCTGTTTCTCCGCTGCACGGGGTGTATGGAGATGAGATTGAATAATGTCAAAAAGCTCCGAGTCGAAACCCGCATAATCCAGCGCCGTTAGCCCGATCATGTCTTTAATATACATGTCGAGGTTCTTCGCTGTTAAGAGCACTTTGAGGGTCTCTATCTTGGCCAGTTGCAATGCCGCACTCGAAAGATGGCTGACTGGCGACCTGCAAGTGTGCTTAAGATCGTGTCCAAGCACAAAAGTATGAAGAGCCGTTCTTCCAAACACGTCTGTTGAGTTGACCGACACTTCTAGCGATACGAGTGTCTTCACTGCATCCGAATTGTAGGTCCCGCAGGCAACATGTAATAGAGTTGAGCCTGTGACGTCTGGGCCGATGCAGGCTTCCGAACCGAAGTCGTGTGCGATCTTAAGCATTGGTTGGGCCGCCGTAGGTGATCCAGATCCGCAAAGAAATAGACAATCATGCAAGAATGGCGGCATCCGCAGGGTCTCCCGGAATAATTCCGTGTCATACTCGTACCAATCATCATCGTCGTCCCTTATGTGGCTGTCGAAAACCCGGCTTGACAAGTTTTTGACTTCCCGTATGAGGTCGACATATTTCGAGATAGCTCCAGTCAACTCGTTTGACTCGGTGCCGAACTGAGACACCAACTTCCTCACCAAGTCCTTCTGAAGTTGAATGGCACATCGGTACCAGTGCCTTTTTCGCAGTGACTCGATAGCGTTCTTAACAAAAGGCGCCAACGGGTCGCTCTCCATCTTTTCACGAAGTATGTTCAGGAGAATTGACGGATCATCCTCGATTCTACCACCACAGAAATCTACGATCTGTGAGCGAACGAACAATTCGCTGTCATTTTCGCGCACCGCTTTCTCGCTCAATCTGGATATCAATTTATTGGCATTGTCGTCCAGGAATTTAATTGTATGATGTGGTGACTGCATGGATGCAACGGGTACGGAGGAGATATTAATGTCTGTGGAGATATTAATGTCTGTGAGTAATGAATACCAGAAGTCGAATATATCGAAGGCTAGATAAATTCCATCGGCACCATCACTAGTGGCTTTAGCTAAATATATATGCCGAGTTGCAGGAAAGCCATCCTTACAGGTTCAAGTCCTTGGCCCTGAGAACAGACGGCTCGCCGTCTCGGGCTGGTATACTTGGTGACTGCTGTTCGACCACCGGCACATTATTTGCGGTGCCGCGTCTGGTTCGGTTCTCAGTCTGCCGATTTGGCGTGCATTCGTATCTTAGTCTTTCGCATCTTTCACATTTTTTAGGCCACTGGCGTTCGAGCGGCTCGCACTTTGTCAAAGTTAGCACCCATCGAGCCGTAACACTACGGGTCACATCTTGTGGGGTTTAATGATCACGCGGGTGAGAGCATACCTTTTTCTTGTGCTTGCGACAGAAGTCGCATTTTTGATACGAGTAGGAAAGTCTTTTTTTTCTTGGTGTGGGCGCTCTTCAGACTGAGTGTCGGGGTCCATGCTTGACAAAAGATCAGGAGAGATCGGATGCAGCAAGTGACGCCCCTACTACGAGGCAAACAGAGGGGTGAATGGCAATAGGATTGCATAAAGGCGGTGCGATCTAGAAGATTGGTGTCGGGTTCGGCTTGTCGCAATGCTATGCATCGCAATGGGAGACATGATGAAGCACATGGACGGGCGGTCCCCTTTATCATTGCGCGCAATTCCGACAGCTGACATGTGGCCACGGAGAAATCGCCACGGAGAAATCGCCACGAACGGCATACGCATCAAACCAAGCACGAGCAGGAAAAACAGCCAGCGCAGTAGCGGGAGTCCTTTTCTGTGGCATCTGGCAAATGAGAGTTTGAAAAGCAGAATTGTGGCTTGCTGAGTGTCTTACGGGGTGGTGTTGGTGTTGGCTCGTGCTCGTAAAGGTGCCTTAGATGTGCATCTTCAATTGCGACAATTGCGACAATTGCGACATTGCGACTGTGTGAATACTGGATACCTTAAGGTACCTTAGGCACCTACCGTACCTTGCGTACCTACCCAGGTACGGTAAGGTACCCAAGGTACCTAGCCTAGGTACCGAGTGTCGGACTGCATTGCGATAATTGCGCCGTTCGGCTGTAGGGTAGTGCACCCACCGAAGTGAAACAGGCTGGCTGGCCAGGGTGGCCAGGCCCCTGGTCCGCGCCACAACACGGCCGAGTCTGGTTGACCGTTTCTCCATGCTGGCCGAAAAAAATCAAGGGTTGCTTCATTCGTTGTAGGCGGTCGTAAACCTCGGAGGGCCACCCGCTTCTACGGCCAGCACAGTTGACAAGGGGCGGAAAGTAAGCGTCGCCTCACTATTTCACCGCGGCATCGCACTCTCACTCGCGACATTGCATTGCGACTATTGCGATTCACCGCTTTTCCTGCATGAGTGCCTCAGCGCAGAAGTCCCGGTTCTCCCATTACGACGAAGGTGTAAGCCAAAGCTTCCTTAACGTACCTAAGGTAGGACGACCCAACGAAAGATATTCTAACGAGTCCTTCGATAGCCATTGATAGACTTGTCGCCCCTTGTTACTTGTCCCAAGAACTCTCAGTCTTATACTACCACCTACATCTCTGCCATATTAAGCTGTTGAGCACCTTCTGGCTGCGAAAAGAAAATTAATAGGCACAACGCCGTACTACCTCCTTGCCCAGCAACACCACGCCCAACGCGGCATATCAAACCACTCCTCATCCGTTATCCCCCCTTCGTTGCAAGCATCCACAACCAGCCATCATCGGCACGTACCACGCTGCAATGCCGCTCCCAAGCGAAATGATCATTGCCATTGTACTCGGGTGCATCCTTGGGGTACCAACCCTGGCAATGTCCATGATGACATGGCTCGAGGCACGGCGGGCCCGCATCGGCGGGCTCAACGCCCGTATTGGTAAGTCTTATCTCAATCACCATTTCTTTCAACCAGATTCACTGATACAACGTATTCGCCCACCCAGAACTTCAAGACGGCGATGTCGAATTGCTGCGACTCATCTTCGCCCCCGGACCCCAGCCACAATAGTAAATATCATCCAGCGACATCACTATCCTCCCATATCTGACCTTGAGCCCAGCAGCGCCACAGTTCAGGATGGGGCTGCTGCTGCTGCTGAGGAGGAGGAGGAGCCTCGGAGCAGCGGCACCGACGTTTTGGCAACGGAACCCATGTGATCCGCTGCGTCATGTTGCCAGGCAGGCGTCATGCTCATGGGCGCAGAGAACGGAGACGCCGCGCGAGTGATGTACGTTCAAGCTCGTTGGCCTGTGGGAGAGGAGGAATTGAACGTGCAGTTGCGCTCGATTGAACTGCGACGATGGGATAGAAACAGTGTAGACAACCGTAGACCTTTACTCGATTGTCAGTCAATGAACGGATGCATCTAGCTGCTCCAAGCGACTGCGATGCCGTGTTAGCGGACTGACGTGCAAGTTTGTGGGTACGCTGGTTGTTGGAACAGAAGTGCACCCCCGCTATGGTAGCCGGCTCTTGTCGTCGCTGGGCCGTGACCCACAAGAGGCGGTCTCCCGTTCAGTGGGCGCTGTGGAGCCCCGGACCCGGGGAAAATACAGGACTGCCATGCTTTAGTGTCTAAGGTACATAGGTACCTGGGCCAGTCCCTGTTCATGGGTACACCACCGTAGGTAGGTACCTTACCTTACCTTACCTTAGGTAAGGTACTTGCATTGCACAGCGTCGGCACCTCAAGATGGCCAGGCTCAGGAGCCACCAACTCATTCCCGTACATGGACAAGACCCAATGCCAAGCCACAGATCGATCCGCATGTTTGCCAGACCCAGACACGCTTAACAGTTCTGTGTGTATACTGAGGAAGACAAGACCACTCACTCTCTGGCAGATTGCTCTCATGTAGCAACATTCAGGCGGCAAATAGTGAGTGGTCTTGTCTTCCTCGGTATAAACACAGAACTGTTAAGCGTGTCTGAAAGTCGCTATAAGCTGCGACCTGTAGCGCCGTCAGCCTAGGAAACAGGCGCATGGACAAGCCCCCCTGACAGCGTCCCCGATTGGAAGTTCTAGGTTGTAACCTTGCAATCAGGTATAAGCTTCGGAGACAAAGGCCGCCCTACTGGCTGGTTGCATAATGCGGTACCATCCATGATCTCAGGGTGGGCATTGGGTCATGACTAGGGAGTAGCCTGGAAACCCACCCAACCCAGCTGAGACGAGAAACCTTGGGCCTTTATACGGACTAGACCTCCAGTAAGTTCCGTGCCTTAGATAAGTCACAGTGCCTTCAATCTGACCGACGGCGGAACCTTCCGCCACGACAAGCAATCACAGAGCCGACAACAATGCTTCATTCGCCAACGGGATCAATTCTGCGCTCACGTCGCTGAATTTGATGGTCCTAGAAATTGAGCCTCTTGCCGGAGCGGAACCTTTTCATCGTGAAAAGTTTGACGCTGAGAACCGCGATGAGAAAGGGAAGAAAAGTCGGAAGACGCCAGCAAGAAAATGGGGGCGACGTGCTTCACGATCCGACGGATGAAGTCGGCGAGGTCTTGCGTGCTTCTTATTCTCCAACCGAATTTGGCGAAGACCCTGTCTCCCCACGGCAGCCGGCACTGAAGACGATCGTCTCGTGCCGTGACCTTCCTATTCCAGTAAGGACCAGCACCGCTCATCACACTTTTTACTCTTACAGTTCCATCAAGTATCCCTAGCACACAAAGACCCCGGAGATAAGGAGACGACGTGACCTCGGTCACCCGCCATCCCCAATGACACCTCGTGCTCTGTTGCCCGTGCAGCGTCCCACCACCTCGGTAATCGGGGGATAAAGGGGACGCCCTAGAAGACGCCACGCTGCCGTGGAACGTTGTTTCTGGAAAACGCCGCTGGCTTGGAAGCTGCTGGCTGTGGAAAATGGAAAGCGCCGCCGCAAAGCCAGCGCCGTCGCGATGGCGCCATCGTCCTGGCCTAATACGGCCGCGTCATCCAGTGCCGTGCTACCGAAAGAAGAGGCTTGACGTGACGGGCTGATGTGGAGAATCCTCCCGTTCTTGGCAAAGCTTAGCTTTAGCCGCCCCGTCTTGGCGGGCGTCGCGGACCCTTGCTAGGTTCAGGAACCCATGGACTCCCCCACGTCAGAACGTTAGATTCATGCTTACAGGGTAGTTGGGGGGGTTCGTCTTTAGCTAGAACTACCTTCGGCATCGTTGTCCCACAGAGGGTTTAGTGGTCTCTGCGTCGCATCGCGGCTGCCGCAAATAGGACGGTCAAGGTTTCCCAGATAGGGAGCTCGCCACGCGGTACAGCCAACCGGGCACGACGAGGAATGAATAGGCTGTCTACCCGGCACGTTGGTAGCCGTGCTGTAGAGCACGGACTGGATAGTCCTTGTTCTGCGGGGGGCCTGCCTTTGCTCAACGCGCCACGAGCCAGTCCCTCTGGAAACTCGAATCACGTTGAGGCAAATTGAGGTTATCAGGCCGCACGACTCGTGCTCATATGATGAAGGTGGAGGCATGGTATCAGCTGCAACCCAGATGGCACAATCGTGGAGTGGAGTTGTTCCCTTTGGACCCTTGGACAGCAGATATGGCCTATCTTGTGCCATATGAGAAGTCGCAGGGCCGTATGCGATGGACGCGCCGATCTATAAAGAAAGCCTCCTGCGGCGAGACCTTGATCGTCTCTGGCACCCTCTTGCATCTGTGTTTGCACTTGGTCCATCTTCGCTTTGGAAAGCTCAGCCAGAACGTCACGCCAGCATGGCGTCTCCACCTACTCAAGATGTCGTCGCCAGCGAGAGGCACGTGTCGCGCTTCTCGGCTGGCGACGATGAGATTGTCAACGAACAAAAGGTTGCCTTGAATGACGACTCAGTGCCCAAGACTGGAGAGAAGAGCGAGTTTGAGATCACCTCGGCTCCGGTGGACGACACTGACGCCCCTGAAAAGGGCGACGTCGAAGGAGAAGTCATCATCATTACTGGCGCTGACGCCGCTCACCACTTGCTGCCCCTGAGAGATGACTTTGACCCCGTCATCACCTTCCGTAGTCTGCTCTTGGCCACGCTTCTGTCGGGTTTCCAAGCTGTGATGCAGCAGATCTACATGGTTCGTGACACACACATCACTACGTTTTGAGGGACGTTGACGCTAACATCTCTTGAAGTTCAAACCCACATCCGTCACCCTTTCCGGAACTTTCACCGTCCTGATTGCATATTTTGCCGGCAACGCTTGGGCTACTTTCCTGCCTCGCGGGGACAAGCTCGAGGCTCGCTGGAGGGCCAGGGGCGGCCAGGGTGAGGTGCCTCGCTATATCTGGCTCGCCTCGCAGATCAACCACGGACCCTGGAGTCTCAAGGAGCATGCCATTGCGGCCCTCACCGCAACGTCCTCATCCAATGCCGGCGCCAGTATCGAGGTCTTCGCGGCGCAGGACCTCTTCTATGACCTGCCCCTGAGTATGGTCACCGTCGTGCTCTCCATCATCTCCATCGGTCTCTTCGGCTATGGACTGTGCGGCATCTTCCGCCCCATCACCGTCTGGCACGTCGACGCCGTCTACTGGAGCACGCTGCCCGTCGTCAAGACCCTTCAGGGTCTTCACTGGCAGGAGGTGAAGAGCTCCAAGCCCCTCCGGGTCTTCTGGTATGCCTTTGCCGGTATGGCCGCTTACGAGTTCTTCCCTGCCTACATCTTTCCCTGGCTCAACTCGGTCTCGGTGCCCTGCCTTGCGGCTATGAACGCCACAGGGTCCAAGGCAGCCGTGCTGAAGAACCTTTTCGGGGGCTCGATCAACAATGAGGGACTGGGAATGTTCAGTCTGTCGTTTGATTGGCAATATGTACTATCACCAGCCTTCCAATATGGTCCGCCACTCAGCTAACGTGATGGACAGATCACCTCGATGAATACGTCCCTCCCGCTCACGCTCCAGCTCCACTCCAGCATCGGGTATCTGATTTGCATGATTGTCATGCTGGCCATCTACTACAGCAACACCTGGAGCGCCAAGTCGCAGCCGTTCATGTCGACGCGTCTCCGCGCAGAGGATGGGACCGTGTACCCCTCTGCCAAGGTGTTTGCCGGCGGCGTGCTGGACAAGGCGGCCTTTGCGCAGTACGGCGTGCCCATGCTGACGGGAACCTTTGCGTACGCCATGTTCATGGCGAATGCTGCTGTGCGTATTCTCTTCAGACCCTTGCTGTGGATGGTCCGGGTCTAACTGTTACCAGATTGGCGCCTTGGTCGCTCACTGTGTCGTCTTCTGGGGTGGAGACATTGTGCGCACCTTCAAGAGCGCAAGGAAGGGCGTGTTCAACGATCCTCACCACCAGCACATGGTCAAGCACTACAAGGACGTGCCACACTGGTGGTACATCTCCGTGCTAGTCCTCAGCTTCATCCTTGGCCTCGTTGTTGTGATCAAGGAGAACATTACTCTGCCAGCCTGGGGATACGTAGTCTCGATTCTGCTCGGCATTTTGATTGCGCCTTTTGTGAGTTGCTCCTGGATGCTGCAGATGAGGATGAACGTCGCTGACGAGCCGCAGAGCACGATTCTTTACTCTAGATTCGGCAACGGCATCGCCACGAACAACCTCTCCAAGATGATTGCTGGTCTCCTGCTGCCCGAGCGTCCTGTTGGCAACATGTACTTTGCCGCCTGGTCTCACAACGTCATCGTCAACACCGTCAACCTGTCCAACGACCTCAAGATGGGCGAGTACCGTAAGTTGTGACTGCCTAGTCCGATATGAGATGTGTTGTCTGAGCATTTGTATAGTCAAAATCCCGCCCCGCGCCATGTTCATCACCCAGATCTACGGCACGGTCCTCGGCGGCTTCGTCAACTATGCCGTCATGAGAGCCATCGTGAACGGCAATCGCGAGCTGCTCGTCAACAGCGACGGCAACAGCTCCTGGAGCGGCGCGACGATCCAGTCCTACAACACCAACGCCACATCATGGGCGCTGGCCAAGTACCTCTACAAATCAGGCACCCGCTACGAGGCCATCCCCTTCGGTCTCCTCGTCGGCGCCAGCATCGTCGTCGTGCATCGCATCTTCGCACACGTAAGTGCCGCCCCCGATCCCTGACTGGTGTCAGCCGCAGTTCGCTAACGGTGGTCGCCCTTCCAGTTCGTGCCCAAGATCAAGCGCTTCTCGCTCTACGACCTCAACATGCCCCAGCTGATCCAGTACGCGGGCTATATCCCCTACAACGCGTCGCAGACGTGCGTGCTCCTGAGCCAGGTCCTCAGCGGCCTCTTTGTGCAGTACTACCTCCGCAACCACCGCCCGCGCATCTTCAAGGACTACTCGTACCTCGTGACGGGCGCTTTCGACGGCGCCAGTCTGACGGTGCTGTTCATCTTGTCGTTTGCCGTGTTTGGGGCGGGTGGGAGGACGGTGCATTTCCCGAAGTGGTGGGGGAACAATGCTGATGGGCTTTACGATCACTGCCCGTCGCCGGAGTAGAGGGGGACCAAATGAAGAATGTGCAAGGGGTAGATTTATGGAGGGTCTCGTTGGATCTTCAACGAGGTCCGGATCGCGACTGGCAGCTCCATCACTCAGCTGTTACGACCTGGCAGCTTGTGAAAGGAGGACACTGTCAGAGGGTTAGGTTTGCTGTTAGCAGAAGCTTAACTAGGCCTTTTCGTACAGGCTGAGTAGTCGACTTAACCTTCACTGGATGCTTCAGTGAAATAAGCGGAGGTGTAGGCGTAGTGACACAGCTAGATGTATTGTAAATGTTAGTCTTACCGGCAGGCGCTGGCTTCATTGTGTGTTGGACTGGGGGGTGTACCACCCCTCGGCCCGTCATTCGTGAGCTCCATCCTATAGATTGTCATCCTTGCGACAGAGTGCCCCGGACGAGGGTGGTCGGATTGTCGGCGTTGTTCATGCTTTGAACGGAGACGAACATTGAGAGATTGACACCTGGAGGCGCCCCTCGCGTCAAACGTGCCCAGTTAATCCCCCCTTGCTTCGGTTTGCCTGCAGAACAGAAGGGCATGGGTAAGAACAACAGTGCATCTTCTGAGACGCTGTGTCATCGGAAATCGGGCCATTCAATATCAACGAGGCCAGAGAGCGATCTACTCAATCGCAAAAATACCCGGTGGGCGGCATCGTCTCCAAGGGTCGCGAGCGGAACGTCCGCTCCACCTGGTCGAGACGGAAGTCAATGCCATCAGGGTATTGAGCGATGCTATATCCATTGAGATGATGAAGTTGTCCGCGGTAACGAACCGCTGGTAGGGACAGTCCTCGCCGCAAGTGTACGCGATCTGGGTGGTGTTGAGTAGGTACGTCGTGTGCCATTTCCAACCCGCCTTGAAGTGGTGAATGCTGAACGGCTTGATGCCGCTCTCGCAGAACCCTGACGCGTCTCCCCCCGACAGATCGAGTTGCCACAGATCCCGCATCCAAGTCATGCGCACGTCGTTGTTGTCGTAGATGCAGTTGCGTAGAAGGATGTCTCCTTGCGCACCTCAGTCGGAATCTGACTTCTTCACCGTGGCGGGTGTCCTGCAAGACTCATGAGCACCGGCAATGATCTTCGCTAACGGACGGCTAAGGAAAACTCCGCCGCCGCCGAACGCCTGGGAGCCGTGCAGCCTCACAGTCGTCATGTCCTCGGGCAAGGTCCCCACGTACTGGGGTTGCGTGGGGTCGTAGGTTGTGAGCTTTGCGACGAGGAAGAAGGTATCATCATCGCACAAGACGAACTACTTGATGTTGGCGGCCTAGCGAGAAACAAGAAGGGGGACTAGGTTGAGATAGCGTATGGCCATCTTCTTCTCTAAGCGGCTGTCCCAGCCGCCCACCTCGGCATCGACACCGACCTTGGCCAGACGTCCAGCGACGTCTGTGATCTCGGCGTCGGTAGCGTCAACAAGTTGGATGAGGAGCTTGCCCCCATTCGACCTATCGTTGCCGGTCAGCCAGTAGGCCCATTCCTGAATGTTCGTTGGGTCGCTGAGGCGTTTGAAAGTGGTCGAAATGGCGACATGAGGTCAGATAGGTTGACGTCGGCAGGGAAGGGCGATTCTATCACAGGGACGTCGAAAGGTGCCTGGTAGCTACGGCGCGCCAGCTGTTGCGAAGAGGATCGGTGAGGGTCGCTCAATAACTCGGTGATCCAGCCAGAGACAACAAGAGGTGAACCTTGCTTTAACTGACCAGCCAACCTAAGGGGGTTCACAACGAGTGGGGGTGGACGGAGCCCGGGCAAGAAGAAGATCCATCGCCAAAGGATCAACTACAGTGACAGATTTCTACCCCGAATACAAGCACCATCCACCTAATTGGCATCTTTGACACTCGCTACTCAGAAACTAAACCAACATTTTTATCATTGCTACTACATGTTAGGTGTATCATCGCCAAATCCTTAACTTGAAGCCTCCGGCCTCTGGTCTGAAACCCCTCAAAAGCCTGCTTATCGTGGTTAAACCGCACCGTGATTAGAAGCTTTCAGGCCGACAGTGCTAAGCCCTCCCAGGCCCCCTGTAAGGTAAACAGCGTCCCAGCCAGCCACGCAGTAGCAGGTAAGACATTTCGTTGCGACAGCGCCAGTCCCAGAGTACTAGGGCACCGGGTTGTCAACCTGTTTTATCGACAGCCGGTCGTCCATAAGACACTTCGAGCAAGACTCTCTACGTGACAGATCTGGGTAGTAGATACTTCAAGACACCTACACCTACGTATTCGAATTGAGGAATCTTACCAACTTCTTCACTTTCCGCATATTTTCATTTTCTCGCACGCGAACATCGCAACTTGACTGCGTAAGAGTACCTAGCTACTGGACACAACTATGACCTGACCACGCGAGAAGCAAAATGATGGTGTGATGGTGTGCCTGCGCGTGTACACATCGATGCTCAAGTTCGTGTTGAATGCCGTAGAAACAATTCTCAGTTGAACGTCGGGCCCAGTTGGATGACGTACGTGTTCTGGCCTGCTCCAATGAAGACGCAAAGATTGGCCATATGAGACGGGAGGGAGGTGGGCATATTGCTCAATTTTGAAGGTTGTCGGGTTAGGGTAAGGTATCCGATGAAGCAGCCATCCAGGGGGAGACCACTGCACTGCCATCCGCACTCGGTCCTTCATTCGGAATACTATATATGTTACCTACTTTATCACTTATTTCTTTTCATCTGCCCCTAGCATCATCCAGCAGCAGAGATCCTCGACGATATCCCACATACCACCGGAGTGTTTGCACATCACCATGATCAACGAGGCTCTGATGACCCTGGTCTTGGGGTGCATCATTGGTGTACCTTCCCTGGCTTTCTTTATCCTGACCTGGTGGGAAGCCAGACACGCTCGGCTGCAGTCGAGAGACCGTACGTACTTCCCTTCAGTCAAGCGACCAATTCTCAATCAAGACCATGTTCCATGGTTCTAACCAGCGCAGGGATCCGCAACGACGATGCCGCTACTCGACACGCAGGGTCGTCTCACGATCGGGCGGCCTAACGAAGACCTCCTTCGCCCCTCCATACAGCGCATGAACAGAAAGTGGCACTCACCAACCGTCAGGAAAAAGGCCCGAAACTACAGATCATAGACGAGGAAGCATAACGATCTGTGTGGTACATGTTTGGTACACTGGCGTTCATTGTCGCTCGATTTAGTCCATATAGGTGTCCAATACAGCTCCCTTTCATTACCCTGGATGTATCACCCCTTCTAGAAGCCAAACAAGTCCTTGTCCTCTTCATACCCCCATTCTTTCATCGCCGGCAGCACCGCCTTCTGCATCATCACTGGCGGCCCGCACACAAACGTGGCCGCCCCCTCGCCCGGCGCGAACAAGTTGTTCTTGAGAATCTCCCCCGTCACGTATCCTGTCAGTCCCTTCCATTCATCGCTCGGCCGGCTGAGCACGTGTACAACCTTCAACTGTCCCTTGCTCTTCTTGACAAGCTCCTCCATCTCCTCCCTCAGCAGAATGTCAGCCTCGGTGTTGTTGGCGTCGACGACCCTGATCTCCGTCTCGTCATCGCCAGACATGATGACGCGCGAAAGGAGGGAGAACCCAGGCGTCACACCCGATCCGCCGAGAACAAGAGACACACGTCGATACTTGCGCTCCTCGCCGTCGATGAGGAACGTGCCATTGCCGAGGTAAACAATCTCGCCCGTCGGTCCGCGAATCTCAACCTCCTCGCCGAGCGGCATGCAGTCGAGGATATTCGACATGGCGCCACCGGGCTGCTGGTCCGTCGGGAAGTACGTCTTGACCACCAACTCAAACGTGCCGTCGCCGTCGCGAAGATCGTGATGCTGCTCGTTGATGGCCTTGCTGCGCTCTCCGGCCCCCCTGCCGTTGGGGATGCCGTTCTGTGCCGGGCTGGGGAGCCGGTCTGGCGTGTCATTCAGCGCAGGCAGGATCGGCCGCGTCGGCGTGTACGACCGAACGAGCATCTTGTCTTTGAGGTGGAAGCCGATGAGGATGTGCTGGCATGTGCCGAGGCCGAGAATCGCCTTGTGGTCGGGCAGCTGGAACGTGTAGGCGCGCGTGTCCTCGGAGATGGCCTTGCGGGCGATGAGCTTGGTCGGCACCCAGCGGTGTTTCTGCAGCGTCGCCTTGTTGTCGCCTTTGGACTTGGCCTTCTCGGCAGCCTGCTTTTTGGCGTTCTCCTTGATGAAATTGGCCGCCTTGTTGGTGACGGTGCCCAAGAGGCATTCTGGGTCGGTCAGCATGGGCTCTGGGGCTTTATCACAAGCATCAACGCACCTTTCAGCTTCTCATAGGCAAAGCCGTCATGGATGCTGCCAAATTCCTCCGTCGTCTCTGCGTGTACCCGGCCGGCATGCGCCATGATCGGCGCCTTGCCACCCGGGTGCCAGGACATGACGGACGTTGCGTCGTACACCTTGCCGTCGACGACGATCCAGCAGTCGTCCTCGGAATCGTGCTTCTCAATCTCCTCACGTGTAAACTGCTTCTGCGGCGTCCCGGCCTCGCGCTTCGCCAGCTCGATCTGGTTGACGACACTCGGCTGCATCCACCCGCCGTCACCGTTGGCCGGCTCAGTCGGGTGTCGAAAGAGCACGTACGCGCCGTCCGTCTCGTCGTCCTGCGCAATCTCCGACTTGACGGTGTACCAGCAATGTCATCATGCCCTTGAGGTTCCAAGCCGGGTCCCGCGGCTGCAAGTTTTTAAAGACGTTCCAGCACTTGACCATGATGCTCCGCGCCTGCACCATGCGATGCAGCGGCACGTCGACGTGCCAGTGGCACCATGTCCAGAACTTTTTGCCGTGGCGGATCGGCAGGTCGGGGAACTTGCGGATGCAGTAGAGCCAGGTTTCGCCGTCGTCGAGCGAGACTTCGACGCGCTGCACCTCGTGGCCGCCGCCGTCGTAGGCGAACCCCTGGATTCGGTACTCGGCCCCTTTTCCTTTGCCGGCGTCCTTGAGCAGCATCTTCTCGCCCTGCTGGGGGTGCACAATGACCGAGTTGAGGTTCTGCTCCATGCACGCCGTGCCGGGATGGCGGAACATGGTCTCGGCAAAGGGGCTCTCATTGTCCGTGACAAAGGACGGCAGCACGCGGTTGTCCCAGATGTGGTAGTACGAGTCGTTCTCCTTCTCGGAAACCCAGACCCGCTTGAGCCACTTGACGCATCGCCCGCCGACGTGGCCCGGGATGATGACCCGGACAGGGTAGCCGTGATCCGGCGGCAGCGGGAGGTCGTTCATCTCGTAGGCCAGCATGACGTCGTTGCGCGGATCCATGGCGTACGCCAGCGGGATGCAGGTCGCGTACTTGCCGGCGCTGAGGTCCTCCGAGCCCTCAAAGTTGATCCAGCGCCGCGGGCCGTCGTTGCCGAGATCGTCTGGCACGCCGGCCGCGAGCAGCACGTCGCGCAGCAGGGCGCCCTTCCAGTAGGCGCATCCGCCGCCGCCGGCGCCCCAGTTGAAGCCCTGCGTTCTGCGCATCATGTTCAGCTCCTTGCGGCGGTTGCCGTCGCAGGCCATGAAGACGGGAATGTTGATGCTGCGGTAGCCGTGCTTCAGCTCGTCCATGGTCAGGGTGAGCTTGCCGTCGTTGATGTCGACCGTGTGGTACTCCCACATCAACCGCGGCACGGCGCCGTGGTTTCGCACATAGTGCAGCTCGTTGGGCGTGATGAGACCCGCGGCCAGCAGGCCTGTGAGGGGCGCCTCGGCGTTGAGCGGGTGCTTCCCCGTCAGTCGGATGAGCTCGGCGCTGCGGGGGAACCAGTTGTCAGGCGTGAACTGATCGGCCTCGTCAATGGAGACGTCGCAGCGGTTGTGCTTCTGCGGCGACTCTTGGTTGCCGTCGTTGGTCCCGAGGTTGGCCATGTAGTCCTTCTCATGTTGCAGGGCCCGCAGGAGCGCTCGCTCCTCATCGGTATACTTATCCTCGAGCGTCTTGCCCTCGCCCACGTCGTTCTTCCGCTCATCCTTGAGATCGCCGTGGCTCGTCTTGTCGTCATGCGCAGGCTTTGCAGGCTCGCTGGCGCCGTTCTGTTGTGAGTCTTGTTCTTCTTCCCTCTTCTTCTTTTTTTCCTCCACCTTTTTCTTCTTCGCCTCGTTGATTGGCCACTTTTGCCCATACTTGACCCAGTCCTCGGTACAGTCGAGGGCAAATCGAACGCCTACCGCCCTGTCCTGGGGGTGGATGAGACGAAGGTCGTCCTCGCCGTCAATGACGTCGCGGAAGTTGATGAGCTCGCCCTTTCGCTTCCTGTCGAGCAGGGCCTCGTACTTCTTCATCGCCTTCTCCCAGTACTTGGGCCCGCCCGGCTCGCCGCTGTAACCCGGGACGCGGCCATCGACGTTCTTGAACCCGACGCGGTGGTTGTGCCCCGCACCCCAGTCGGGCTCGTTCTCGATGGCCTGCTCCGAGGACCCGGGATGGTCCCGCTTCTCCACGACAAAGTGGCTCGTGCCGCCCATGGTGACAATGGCAATGGGACGTGGTGGTGGGCCTTGGATGTTGCTTCGGAGGACCCGCGCAGGAGAGGAAGAAGTAGAAACAGAAGAACACAGGGAGAGAGACACGAAGTTGTAGCGGACGGAGAGAAAGGTCAGACCACAAGGTTTCGAGAGCACCAGTGATGACGTCTTGTGGCTGGTTGCCGGATTCTCCCTTAGATCGTGGGCGGCGCCGCACAAGGGAGGCCGGCGCGGTGGGTCGTTGCCGACGTCTCCGCGGCTAACGTTGCCGCATGCGGGGTTCCGGCTCGCAATTGGCTCTCCCCGGACAAGTTAGTGGTGCCATGGCTGCATGAGAGCATAACCTAAACATCTGATTGGGATTGGTGGTCCAATGGGCTGATGTGTATTTGCATGGCGTTTTGCGTCTGGCATAGAAAGTGTGGAGGATCATGGATGATCTGATCTTGGGGCAGACGCAACTCAGTTTGATCCCTTGGTGGCTGGTCATTCACACCATGAGACGAGAGTCCATGATCCAGCATGATCGTGAGACTCGCCTTTGGGTTCCGTGGCCTGACTCGCGGGCAATGATTCAAGCTTTGTGGGCTTTTCACTGACGACCTCGCCGTGTATCGTTTTCAAATGGACTAGATTTTCGAAGGCTACGGCGTTACCGCCACCTTTCCCCGCAGTCAACTGTGCTTTGAGACTGTCATGGTCAGTTGCGCCAAGCATCGCAATACGACGGCGGCCCACGTCTAGAGGAAGGCTTCATGGCGTGAGATTCTTTTTCATTCTTGTGTACTCAGCCGTGCCAATATTGATGGACTTGGCCATCAGGGCACATCCATTTACTGACGTTGGAAATGTTCTACCTCTGGGCAACTTCAGGGCTGCCAAAGTCACACGAGACGCCTCCCGCGTTCCCTTGATTCGGGCCGCGCATCAAGAGACAGCCCGGCAGTGAGACATGTCAGTTCTGAAGACCTTGGTCAAGGAGAGACACCTGTAATTACTATCCAACGACCATGGCCTCGCTGCGTACAGTGTCTCACGACCCTGACCTTTGTGCTTCAAATTGACTCATGGTTCTCTTTGAACTCTCACAACTCGGGTGATGTATCGCACCATCAACATCTTGGCTGACGAAGGTACGAGCAACTCCAAGGGTCCGCAGTGTCGAGACCCTTGGAAATCTCAAGCGGTATGCGGGCCGAGCTAGTCCGTGGAAAGACCCCAGAAATATCCTGATAGGGAGGATCACCTCGGTTTTCTCAGGAATGTCGAAAAATCATGCCAATGACAGCACCTCGTGGTAGGCGCTGCCCATGGCACAGGCAACCCTCACACTCGCCGTGGAAGTCCCGTCCATAATCAATAACGCCACGACTTGCTCTGAACATGCATATAACGACACACACCACAACATTCAGCCCATGCGTCCTGGCCCTGACACAGCTTCATCATCATCCAATCCCTTTCAATAACTCATCCAAGCCCTACCACAGTCACACTGTACTGTTTTCATCAATCACCGCCATGCAGTTCAAGATCTTTGCCCTCGCTTTCACAGCCCTCATGGGTTTCGTCCATGCCCAACAGCTCTCGGCCGAAACCCTAGCCGGGGCCATCAACTTCATCGCCGACACCTCCCAGGAAACCAGCGATCTCGTCAGGCAGATCACCCCATTCAACCCCGTGACATTCGTCACCGCTGTTCCTGTAAGCTCGTGACACTCGCCCCTTCTTTGATCTCGAACGCCCAGACTCATAACCTGCCGCAGCGCGTCGTCAACAATTTCAAGGCTCTGGCCAACACGGTCGCCTCGAACGCCCTCAAGCTCAAGGGCATCGAAGTGGAGGAGCCTTTCTCCGCGGACGGCCAGGCCCAGATCTTCGACGCCTTCGTGAACCTGGTCAGGGTCTACAAAAACCTCTTCGACATCTTGTTTCCCCGCTCCAGGATCATCTCTTCGGTCGGGTTTGGTCCTTCCATCGCTGGCGCCCTTCGCTTTCTCGAGGCTGGCATCGATACGTTCGCTTTAAACATCATCAGGTTTATTCCTAACCACAGTGAGGTCGCTACCAAGGGCCAGATGGGCCTCAGGCAGCTGTTTGGAGCCGCTCTCGATCGTTTTTAGAGACCGAAGAACCAGGGACAAGGTTCATTGCTGGAGAAGTTGAAAAGTGAAGCGAGAAACACTGGAGGGCTTGGGCTGCAACATGGATACATTCCACGATTTTTTTTTGGCGTCTTTATCTGGCTGAGCAGTGCAGAGCATCGGGTGGCTCGGCGGCTGGTGGCCTGATACGAGGAGTTTAGTTCGCTTCTGTGGTTTTGTATGTAAAGTTACCATGGCCATATTGTTATGTCAATCATATCCGAGTCTTTATAAAAGGGGCTGCCCTGCCGCGCCCGAATTGTCGCTGGCGAGGTGCACGAACATAGGGCCACCGCATTCGTTTCGACAAGAAGCAGCCGAGCCTCTTGATTTCCAGGGGCAAGCAGTGTTCAAGGTTGTCCACCATGACGAACCCGGGGCCTTGGTCAATGAGGTGAGCCAAAATGGATCCCCGACTTGGTCCATGGAAAGCGTACGGGGATGAGAAGCCAACAGCGGACGAAGACCTGCATTCATTGGCATTCACGACTCAATAGTGTAGCTTTCTAGGACTAGTCAGAAGATTTATTGTATACCTTAGTTTCACTCCGCCTCTCTTGACAAATGATCTTCCACCCTGGCTTCACCTCGCCTATTCGCCAAACCTAGACACCTCGAGGGCCAAGAATCGGTTCCCACCCCGCATCAATCAGTTCGCTGGGGAATACAATTATCACGTGAGATGTGTAGGACGTGCAGATTACGTGACGGATAACAAAGCCAGCGGGGTAGCCTGGGAATCGTACCAACCCTAACCATAATCCCAGCAACAGGATAACTAATGATGCAATAGAAAGCCGTCTAATTACCGCTTCGAGGATAGATTGCTGTCTGCTGGGTAGGGTACCCTTGTCTTCAATTGATCAATTTCCTTTTTATGCTTGGTATCTGCCCAGCGGCCTTCATAAAGAAAGACGAGGTGCTCAATTTCGCCGGTCGACTCGATTGGCAACTGATCATCAACCAAAGACAAGACAACACGCGGGCCAAACGACAGCACCATGCGCTTCAACGCCCTCGCCCTCCTGCCCCTGCTCGGGTCTGCGCTCGCGCAGCTGCAACCCAACTTCACCTCGGACGCTGGCGTGCAGATTTACAACCCTTCCGACTTTTTCGACACGACAGGGCCTTGGAGCTTGATGTCCCGCGCTGGCGACACCTTGTACATTGCTGGTATGACGCCACTGATCCCGTGAGAGTATTCGAGGTTGCCTGTGCTGACCTCATCTGCCCCAAAAGGCATGCGCGGCATCGTCCCGCTGGACAACAGCCTCGCGCCCGAGGGCCTTCCACGCATTCGCCAAGCCTTCCAGAACATGAAGAAGCTTGCTGAGTTTGCGGACGTGGAGCTCTACGACTGTGTCCGCCTCGTCGTCTACGTGACCGACATGTTCCGGTACCGGCCCTTGGTCAACCAAGTGCAGATTGAGCTCTGGGGTACCGACGCGAACAAGTACCCGCCCCGCACGATCATTGAGGTCGATCGCCTCAACCAGGACGACATTGTCGAGGTTGAAGGAACATTCCACATGCCTCGTAAGCACAAGTGTTAGGAAAAAGCCTGACGATGCGTCTGAGGAAAGCCTGGGAACAATGTGGTTGATAGGTTCATTGTTTAATGATGGTTTGGTGGCATGAGAGCGATACTGTCTTTATAGGCGAGCATTTAGATAATCCGGATGACCATGAGCGACAACCATATGATCCATCAAAGTGAGACATCTCGAGATCACTCTCCAGGGGCTACCCTAGGGAGAAACTGCAAGGCCACGAGGGGGGCTGAACGACGTGGAATGATCAAGAAAAAAGAAAGAACAAAAGAGTCATGATGGCAGGGTTCTCACTGTTCCGTATGGATTTAGCGTTCTATTGCTTGCTGCAACATCTCAGGATCGTCCTTCATCCGTCGGTGGGGCATGAGACGCGATTTTCTCGTCAAGCTGGTCAGCGCGAACAATGTGTCCCTGAATGGCAAGCTAATCGTGAAAGCCTGCCGAGATGATTCGACGCCGTCTGGCATTGCCACGAGATGCAGTGCAGCGGTGGCGAGCCCGGGAAGGCCCCCGAAACGTTCCTCGTGTTGGCCCTGGTGAGCAAGTTCCCTCATCAAAAGCCACATCAGCCTGGAGAAATGTGAACGGACATTCTACATGTACATGTAAGCTCTTGGTCAGGGTCTTTGACGCTTTGGGGGGTGCTTTGATTGTGTGGCCTGCTTTACTCGTTCCTGCTGAAATGGCCTCCCTTGCGGCCCATCCCGCTGGCCGTTGCATCGCCTCCCTGCCAGGCCTGGGGAAACTCGCCAGGACTGAGCTTTGACCGTCACAGCACGCCGACAGAAATTGAAGAGAGAGAGTTGTATGCTCAGGATGTGATGACTCGACCCGGCATCACGGCTAGCCTCTACGAGTTAGGAATCCGCGCTTGGCGCCGCTTTTGCGGGCGCAGCGTCAAGATCAGGGGCTGTCGGTCGAAATGAAAGACAGGGTCGATCCATGACGCTAATGTTGGGGGGAAATAAAGTTATCGCTACTGCAAGGGAACACCCCTGTGCAGCCTACCACGAAACCCGGGTCATGGTCCATTGGAGCAATGACCAACCTGGTCGCTTGGCGGACGCCCAGAACCTGTATAGTCGTCTACATAGTACTCAAACGTTGATCCATCCCACTCCGGAAGGATCGTTGCAGTCTTCGCATGCACGGGATGGTGGGCAGACCGGTGAGCTGAGGGGCAGGCTGCTGCTGCTTCTGGGTAAAGCCCTCGATGCAGTTAATCAAGCGTTGATCAATGCAAAACTCGGCTGCCGGATCCTGGTGAGGTCGCTCGATGAAGAATCTGACCCTGAACGCTGATGAGGAGCCGTGGTCAAAAATAGGGTTGGTATCCGCAAGATCCCCCTCTCGAAGGTTTCCGATCTGTTGTCTGTTCGCATGCTCTATTCTCCTTTGATCAGGTTTGCTAGAGCCTGCTATGCCGATCAGCTGCTTTCGCACCTGGATACTCCCGTCTGAAAATTAGCGATGGCCGAGTCAAGACCAATCGACTATGTGATCTCGGTGCCCACATTCATCGGGTCCCTACTGTCGTTCCTGGGCTCTGCGACGGCCCTAGGATTCCAGATTCTTCGCCCGCCGCGACGACATTTCCGCCATGCTCTTATCATCAACCTTTTGTTGGCAGGCAAGTTAACGCTAGGATTCACATTCGGTGCTTTTTCTCATCTAACGTGAAATAGATCTCATCTATGGGCTAGGAAACACCATTTCTGGCGCCGTCTTCCTCATCAACGGCCGTACACCGAGTCCGTTCTCCAAGCCGAGCACACTATGTCTTGTCAGTGGCTGGTTCAGCCAGGCGAACGCCCAGCACATTGACTTCAACATTCTGATCATTTCCATCATTGTTCTTTTGTCCGTTGTGAGGAAGGACTCCATCGCCGAGCTGGATACCAAATGGCAGGTTCTGATCTGCTTCTCGGCATGGCTTCCTGGCTTCACCACCGGTACGGCAACCTCGAGCAACTCTCAAACCTCGTGGCATGGCGAATATGACTAACTTTTGCAATCAGGAACCATTGGTCTCGCGCTGAATTCATACGGTTACGTCAGTGGCAACTGGTGCTGGATCAGGAGCAACAGACTCGACCTGCGCTATGGCCTCTCCCACGGCTGGCGCATCGCCATCTTCTTCGTCACGATCGTCATCTACACCTACATCTACATCAAGCTGAAGCGTGTCTTCAAGGGCCTCAGGAGCATGTCCACGGCCACCGGCACGCGCAGGAAAACAGATCACATGGTCACGGTGCCCTCTGATCCCGACAACAACGACACGCAGAAGATTCTCGTCGCCCACTCCGTCTCCGTCAGCCACGAGATGCAAAACCTGCCGCGAACACCAGACACGGCGGACCATGAGCACGGCTATAATAACGATCCTGTGACACAGTCGACGGTCACGGCGTCTGGGACCGACAGCAGGCCTTTTGAGGCGTCGCGCATGCCGGCGGCGCCCAATGTCAGGAAGATGCTGCTCATGAACGGATACCCGATCGCGTACATCATTCTGTGGATGCCCGGCATCGCGAACAGGTTGGCTGAGTCGGTTGGAAAGTCTCCGCGGTGGCTGAGCGCCATGCAGGCCTCGACGCAGTATATTGGCCTGATCAACGCGTTGACGTACGGCTTGAGCGAGCAGATGCGACAAGGCGTGTGGAAGAAGTTGAAGGATACCGGTGGAAGAAGATGAGTTTGAGTTGGGCACGATGAGGGGGTTTATGAATCACCGATATCTCGACATGTTTTGTTTGATTATAGTCGTTGTCGTCATCTTTTCCTCGGATGGGCGTCCTGTTGTGAAGGATTTGGGGATCACAGAGCTTAGAGGGCACACAGCGCCGCCATGGATGTCTTGTTTTCTCTCTTCTCGAGAATCCGTCTGTTCGGAGCTTCAGGACCCTGGGCAACTTTACGCTTCGGAATGTATCATAGTCCTGGAGTAATATTACATGGTACTTTGGTTGTGGAACTAATTGACTTGACTTTACCGAAGTTAGATGGTCGTGCTTGGTGGACATGTCACATCTCATATGTTGCAGCAGCCAGGTTGAGATGCATTGAGTTGGAACGCTGAAAATATGTCTCTGTGGTATATGTAAACCTCCGGGAGACGCTCACTTCAGGGCTTAGCGCCTCTACGGCTTCCTTGGGCGAACGGACAGACGCAAACGCTAACAACGGCTGATCATTACGGCAGAGGGCGGCGGGGCATCGGCCGCAAGCCCTAGCGGCGGGGCGTCTCGGGCTAAAAGTCAGGTAGCTGTAGGGCAGGTTATTGCCATGGGTCGCAAAAGTCTGGGACAGCATGATTTGGGACCAACGAGGAGCGTAAATCAGACGCCTCTTGGTCGTTGAGGTGAGCTCTCGCCAAGCACTGAAAGGTGCTTGTGCATGAGTTCCAGTGCTCTGGGACCGAAAAGCGAGGGACCAACTTGTTCGAACATGCCAATGAATGCCACCCACTACTGTAGCGGCATTCAAGGTCGACTCGTGCTAGGGTAGGTGGGAATCCTACCCCTGGCAGTTTGGTGGAGGTGCATGACGCAAGACGACCGTGAGCTCTGCTGAGTTCGTTTACGCACGGAAGGCAGATGTGCTGGAGGTAAGCTAGGTAAACACTGTTACATACTTGTTGATCAAGATGGAGTCGAAATAAATGAATGCTGTAGATGCTGGCCCAAATTGAGGGAGAGCACGTTTAGGCCCACCTGATCTCAGGTCTTACTTGTAGAAGCAGTAATACTCCGAGCATACATGTACTGCTCCGGGCAGCAAGGACCAAGTCCCAAATTAAGAAAAAACCAGGACTCTGACACGTTCTGCAGGTGATTGGGATAAAGACAAAAGCGGCGTGACTTGGCAGCGGTACTTGATCATGAAAGTCTGTTGAAGCTGATGCCGCGGACGCAGCTCCGCCACAACGGTCGGTCGCGTCGTTATTCGCGCTGGTGGGGGTCGACCTTGTACATGTACATGTATCCTTTAAGCTCGTCACTGCCACTGGCGGTCGGGCCAAGGATAGGGTTGAATCATCCAACACTACAATCTTTCAAGCCAAAGATGGGCTTCGACATGGATGAAATGTAATGTCGAAGATGCGATTGTCGGAGACCAGTCAGATATAGAGAGACTCGACGAATCCTTTGGGGCACTCACCTTTGAACAGACGCAGACTGCTGCCACTCCGGTTGGAGGACATTGTCCTGCTACTGTGAAGGGGGAGAGGATCGCGCTGGTGGGCGATACGAGGCCAAGAATTGACAAGACCCGCTAAATCTGTCGGGGCAGTCGGAGGGCCTGCGTGGCTTGCGTTAGCGCCACACGGCCACCTGCATTTTCCGCGCCGATTCTCTCACAGCCTGCAACTGCCCCTTGAACCGCCCCCGCTTCTGGAAATTGGATGAAGGAATGCATCCTTGCCTTCGCCAGAACACCTGACGAACTGTCGAATTGACGCAACCATGAGCTGGCTTCTTCACCAGGGAGAAATTGTCTGTGAACAAAACGAGGGCAAAATATCTGTCGCCTCGATGGCTACACCTCTTGATGCAAAGCCCCTCCATCGCCATGGCATACTCACCAGGCATCTGCCAACCTTGTGGCCTCGTTGGCGGCAAAGGAGAGCCACTGGTCACCCATCACATCTCACACGTGTCCGCGAAAGATAAACAGCAACGTGTGCCTGGAGTATGGATCTCTGCAGCAGCCCGCCAAGGAGAACGGTCCAGCACTCGACATAGACTCGGCCGGCGACCTGGCACCGCCACTGCCCAGCATCTTCGTCTATTCGTGCATGGGACCCAGGCCCAGACTGGTGGGATCGTCAGGAACCTACTCCCCCGTCGCAACTGTTCGGCACCCCGGCCGCTGGAGGAACCGAGAAGAGGGCAAAGAGAGGCACCAACTGCCTCCTACAGAAATTAATCGGACGGTGGAGGGGGTCCTTTTTTTTTTTCCCCAGTCGCCTTGGCACCAGCGACACAAGCGACAATATTTCCCATCGGCCTGCCTGTTACATCCAAGATTGACTACGTCCCCACTGTTGCCCAGTCGCCTCGTCAAACCAGGCGGGCGTGCGGTCATGAGCCATTCATGCTCTGGCAGGCGCCGACTGGCGCAGCCCATCCGCAAGTCCAGAGTCCGGGGCCTTACTATCTTTATGTACTACTCGTCCGAGGAAGCAATGCAGACAAGGCACCGCGCGGCGCGGCATGACACCCGAAAATCTAGGGGACCCATCAGAAACAGAACAAGGATGCCGTATGATCGACGAATATTACCAGCGGCCCGCCCGCCTGGCTTTGCCGGGCGGGTTTCTCGATCGTTCATCCGCTTTCCCATCCTTTCTTGACTCACTCGTTCGTCAAGCTTAGGTTCGCGGCCATGGTTTCTTTTCGCTGGCTGATGCTGGCAGCGGTCGCCGGCCTTGCCAATGGCCTGGCCGACACCGACACCATCACCTGGGGTGGCGATAACTCGCGCGCCGGCTACCAGACGTGAGCGTCCTCGTTCCGTATCCGGCCCCCTTGAAATGGCACTGACGTGTTTCCAGTAACCATAACATGGACCCAGCTGTCGTCCGTAGTTCTCAATTCGATCGGATCTTCCAAACCACACTTCCCGGTCGATACGGCGGCCGTGCCGAGCAGATCTTCTCTCAGCCCCTCGTTTACACTCCCGACGACAAGCAGTACGTCTATCTTGCGACCACGCAGAATAATGTCTACAAACTCGATGCGCAGACGGGCGAAATCCTCGCCTCACGCAATCTCCACATTCCTTTCCTCTCGACAGACCTCGACGGATGCTACGATATTCAACCCCACGTCGGTGTCACTGGTACTGGTGTCATCGATCCTGACACCGGCACCTACTACCTCTTGGCCAAAACCTACGAGAACCAGGAACTTGTCGACGTCGCCCAAGGTCGCCCTGCCGGACGCTACTACCTGCACGCTCTTGATGTGAACGATTTGAGCGAGCGTCCCAACTTCCCTGTTGACCTCGAGGGTACCGTCGCCAGGAATAACCCCGATCGAAGCTTCAATGGCGGCATCCATCTTCAACGCCCTGCGCTCCTGCATGTGGGCCAGCATATTTACGCCGGCCTCGGCTCCCATTGCGTCAAATTCAACTTCACCGGCTGGGTCATGGGCTGGGATAAAACTACCGGAGAACAGGTCGAGCGCTTTGCGACGCAGGGCGAGGGCGTACCCCAGAACACCGAGGGCGGCGGCCTGTGGATGGCCGGTGGTGGCCTTGCTTCCGACGACCAGGGCTCCATCTTCTTCGCGACAGGCAACGGATACGCTGGACAGCTTGCTGAGATTCCTGTTAACGGCCGCAACCCCCCGACTTCGCTTGAGGAGGCTGCTGTTCACATGACGATCCAAGAAGACGGAAGCTTAGATCTGGTCGACTTCTTCATACCATGGGATAAGCGCGCTATGGATGGAGACGACAAGGATCTTGGATCAAGCCCTCTTCAAATTCTACCCAGCGAATTTTCTTGCGGCAGCATCAGGCGTATCGGAGTCGTGACGGGCAAGAACAAGAAGACCTACTTCATCAATCTTGATGACATGGGTGGCTACCGCAACGGCGAGGATCGCTTCGACAATATCATCCAGACTTATGAACACGAGAACTCGGTTTATGCTGGTGCTGGCGTCTACCCTGGAGAGGGCGGTTACATTTACATCAACGGTGCGTTTCGTTCACAGGTCTGCGTCTCACCCCCAACATTATTGCTAACTTGCACAAGTCGTACAATATCCTACCATCGTCTTCCGCTTCTCTTGCGCCAACGGTGTGCCTTCGTTCAATAAAGAGGCCGAGACCCCAGAGTCCAACGGCTACACCCTGGGCGTGAGCCACGGCACTGTCACCTCTCTCAACGGAGAGCCTGGCACTGCCATGCTCTGGACCACTGACGTACAGAACCCGCCCGGCCAGCTTCGCATCTACGATGCAGTCCCTCGCGACGGCGAGCTTACCCTCCTCCGAAAGTGGGAGATTGCCGGCGTTACCAAATTCAGCCGCGCTGTATTCGGCGACGGTATCATGTACCTGGGCACGACTACTGGCTTGTTCTACGGATTCGGCGCTCCCATCAACCGCCCCATCGAGTGCACTTCGCCTCTCGAATTCGGCGCCGTCAGTCTCGAAGCCAGCGCAGAGACCCGTACTTTGACTTGCACTGCTCTGATCAACACTGTTGTGAATGACATTTCTCTCCGCGAGGTAACCGATTTCAGCATTTCAGGACTGCCAACACTGCCCTTGACACTGGCTGTGGGCGCCACATTCACAATCGAGGCTGCCTTCGCGCCTACTGACCTCGGCCTTCTCTCCACCGATGTCAACATTGAGACGGAGAACAGCGTCGCCGGATACCGTACCACCACATCTGCCCGACTCACCGGCACCGGCGAGACAGACAACCCAAGACTTTCTGTCAGCCCCAGAGAAATCGAATTCGACAACGTCATCACAGCTGGCGCAGCGCCACCTGCTAACAATGTCGTGCTGTCGAACCAGGGCAACTCTGTTCTGACAGTCAACGAGATCCGATACTCTGAGACGATCAACGGTACTCTGCAAACCTGGGATCCAGCCAGCGGCGCCCTAGTCATGGGGCCTTTCACAATCAGGAACATTCCTTCCACCATTGATGCCAATTCAGGCGCC